ATCTCACACTACAACAGAAGCTAGTATGCACATGAAAAACGTTCTCAAAACATTTTTTTTTACAAAAAGGTGTGGATCACTGGCCAAAATCCCAAGTAGTCGTCCAAACACAGAATAGTTGAAGACCATACCTCATCTCGCCTTCAACTCTTGCTCACCTCCTACCTATACACCTATCTACTGCTGCTGATGATGATGATATGCTTACACATGGCATAAGCAGAGAAAAAGGATGAAGAGGGTCAGCTCATAGCTGAGTGAGATAATCATAGCATCGTGAGTTCATAACAGAGCATACCCCTACCATACATCTAGCAAACAAGCCAAAGCACTGAGATCAGATCTCAGGCATCCGACATCCCAATAGGCAAAAGACTCAACCAGCTTGACTTATGCATATGCATCTTATCATGTTTTAATCATAGGCGGCTGGCTACTCACATGCTAATAACTCTCCCGGGAAACATACCCCACATCCCGTCGGATGTAGTCATACATACCCCAACATCCCGTCGGATGTGGTCATACATACCCCACACCACTATGGGTGTAGTCATACCCCGATACCACTCTGCGTGTGGTCATATCTCGTAAGAATCCTTCAGTAACCACCACATGAGAGGTGTGACTATCATACATATCATAATAGAGTAATAGCATAGGGAGCCCTAATTACTATGCAGTTGACCGTGAGACCGCAACACTCATATTTGGTATCCTTATACATGATTCATATCTCATATTGCTTAATCATAATTCATTACTTGCACATGTACTTGACCTGGCCATAATTGGCTCAACATAGGTAAATCAGGAGTCGTATAATTGCACTTCCTCGGGATAAACCCTCGTGCAAGTCATCCTCCTTAAACATCATAATATCACCATGGGAAGTTTATTTCCCCCACTTGTGAATCCAAAAACAATCACAATATCACATCATGTCAAAACACCTGATCGAACAGCCATGAAGTGATATCAACGGTTAAGCCACAAATGGCAACATGTATGCAATCATCAACATAAACAAGGTCCATATCGGCTAGGGCAAGTCAATAATATCATACAACAATCCATGGTTCATCATATAGCATAAAAGTTCTTACACCCCTAATCATGCCATTCTAATTCACCTAGGTCAATTCTAAGCATCAATATAATTATCGTGATACGACAAACCCGGTATGCCGTGCTAATCCCTCACCAGTTCTGTTCGTTCAAACACCGATTTTAGCTTCTCGTACTAAAACGTCAATTTCACGAATGAACCCCGATTTACAATCCGAGACCGTCCTAATATCCCCTGCAGTATCCCCGTCAATATTAGTTCTAGGCTACGGGTCAAATTCTCGATAAAAACACATCAAACCCAGGTCGGAGCTAAATTCAACGATTTGGACCCCAACCTAAATAATTGCCGAAATTCATGGATTAGAACTGAGGATTGATTACCTCACTGCAGGAAGCTCGTATATGAAATTTGGGCTCAATGCGGCTTCCGGATACTCCAAAACCCTAATTTGGCTTATCGAGAATTCAAGAAATTCCTGAACCAAAAACTCGTTTTAAAGCTCTAAATCGATAAATCACGATGTATAGATGAATTAGGCATTACTTACGGGATTTTTGGATCACTATAGCTCAAGAATCGAGCTATAAAATTTTCCCCGAGCTCCCCTATTCGCTCTGCTCGACCCTCTGGTTTTTGCTTCTCTCGGTCTCCGAATGAGAAAAGATGAAGATGAGAATGGAATAAATGGGACGGTGAATTAATTGGACAATATATATAATTAATACGTATACTTATCCGATCGATTGATAATCTAATTTTCGTCGAAATAGTGTCGAAATGCTCGATTTTAAATCATGAAATTTTCTAGCGATCGAAATACGGGTTTTGCCGGAATGGGATGTTACAATTCTCCCCTCCTTAAAAGATTTCGTCCTTGAAATCTATCCTTGAGTTGTACTCTAAGTCCGCTTACTTACCCTTGACATGGTCTATCGCAGATAAACCATTACCTAACTCTTAGGTTAGGCGATTCATAACATAGAAAGTAACACATAACACCTCAAGTTCCCATGTTTAGGTTTCAAAAACCTATATTGGGCTATCACAACAAAAGCACATCTACAAGTTCAAAACATAACTTACTAAGCAAGATTGTTAACATTTAAAGTAGGTCGCTACCAACTCAGGGTACTTCTCTCGCATACTTGCTTCAGTCTCCCAGGTAGCACTCTCACTTTCTTGATTCCTCCAGACAACCTCCAACATTGGAATTTTCTTCCTACGAAGAGTCTTAATCTGAAAATCAACAATCTCAACTGGAACCTCCTCAAAAGTTAAATCTGGACCCAACTCGATCTCTTCTGGTTGTATAACACGAGACGAATTCCACATCGACAAAGCACGGGAGAGACCCATGGTTCATAAGTAGGAAACCGACATTAACTGACAAGACGCGTTTTGGGGTGTAATGGAGGAGTTCTTGTGAGAACTCCGAAGTTAAACGTGCTCAGTGTGGAGTACAACAAGGATGAGTGACCTTATGGGAAGTCATCTTGAATTGCACCCCAAGTCGAAAACCGTGAGGGTCGAGGCCCAAAGCGAACAATATCTTGGTTGGGAAAAGGTACGGGATGTTACACATATCGATTCTCTTAGTTATATGTGACTGTCCATATTGATTCCCTTATGAAGATGGGATTGAATTGTTTCTGTTTTTTTTTTTTTTTTTTGCCTATGATGGTTGCATTATTTATCCAAGGCTTAATTGCAAGTTTGGTCACTCGAATTGCTATAAAATTTCACGTTTGCCACTCAAATTAATTTATTCCATTTATAGTCACTCGAATTAGTTGAACAGTTCAAGTTCGGTCACTCTCCGTTAACCTCCGTTAACTTTGACTGACGTGGCGGTCAACTCTGACAGTTGACCGTTAAATGTGTGACATGGCAAATAAAAAATAATTAAAAATAAAAAAAATAATTAAAAATAAAAATTAAATTTTTAGAAATTACACATCATTATAAAAAAAAATTATAATTATAAAAAATGAAAAAAAGAAATTATAATTACCTGAGCTTCATTGCTGCCATTGGTAACCAACGGCTTAGCAATTTGAGGCTTCACTTGGAGTGATCGCTTCACTAGATGCCAGAATTCCTCTTTAGTTGCATTGAATGCCTTCTTTATCACATCAACAGACAAACCCCCTTGCTCACTCGCGAATTCTTCAATGAACAGAAGAAAAAAAAACAGATTAATTAGGGAAGGAACAATCAAATAGTCAAGCCTTCAAAGGAAGCTAAATAACCTGCTAGAAAAGCAGAATTCTAGATGCCCAACTGTATGCCATATCGTAAGGAATATGGATAAAGACATTCTACTGTGGAAGTTCAGTAAACAATAGAAGACAACACACAAGAATCCAACTTGCACAAGAAGGATGAGGTGAACGAAACCAGCAAACTAAATAGCTCATCCATGGAACGGTTTAAGAAGGAATAAAAAGTATAGACCAACGCCGGGATAACATAAACAAACACAACACAACTGAGAGAACGGGAAGTAGAATGAAAATCAAAACGAGGAACTAGCCGCAGTCTCAAAACCCTAATGCAGGCGAAGAAGTTTGAAGTGAGAAATTAGGGGTGACGAGAGAATTTACTGTGCATGAAAGGGAAGAGGTGCTTGTGGACAAATCTAGAAGCTTCCGGGCCACCATGTCCGTCGTAAATCCCAACATAAGTTACCGACGGAGACGTGAAAACCTGACTCTGATCCTCCATGTTCGAATTCGCCTGGACGGCCGCGATCGAATAGTCTCCCTAGGCGTGCGGCTTCAAATCCGAGTGCCACAACAGCCCATCGCTACCCCCGCCGCCGCGTCGGGTGAAGCATCTCTCCAACGGCCGGCAACAAGAGCGCAGCATCATCGTATATCCCTCTGCGACCACCACTGTTTCTCACCCGCTCCGTTTCGTCGTTCTCTGATCGGCCTTTTTTTTTTGTTCACGGCCACTCTGTTCCGACCTTCCCCTGTTTCGTCTGCTCTGTTTCTGTTCGCTCGCTCCTCCGGCGCCGCCGCTGCTAATGGCAATTATAATTTCTTTTTTTTATTTTTTATAATTATAATTTCTTTTTATAATGATGTGTAATTTCTAAAAATTTAATTTTTATTTTTTAATTATTTTTTATTTGCCACGTCACACATTTAACGGTCAACTGTCAGAGTTGACCGCCACGTCAGTTAAAGTTAACGGAGGTTAACGGAGAGTGACCGAACTTGAACTGTTCAACTAATTCGAGTGACTATAAATGGAATAAATTAATTTGAGTGGCAAACGTGAAATTTTATAGCAATTCGAGTGATCAAACTTGCAATTAAGCCATTTATCCAAGGTGTGTTTTAGATTGATTGATTGAGAAAAGCAACTATTGATTTTGTTAGTATTTAATAATGATTTGATTTGGATTGCTTATGTGGAAGAAGAATTTCAGATTGGTTATGTTTATATTGAGCAATGCATTGATATTGTGGAGAAAAAAGTTTGATATAGTTAAGATGATGTTATTTGATGTTATTTGAGTGTGTTGGAGTTTAAGTAGTGTTGTATTTTTCTATGTTGGATTTAGAGAAGTACAATATAATTATTTTCTCATATTTTTGGGCTAATCCGGACTAAACCGAATGATCCATTAACTCTTGAGTCTTGACCCACTATCTCCACCGGGTGGAGGTCGACAACCTTGAGTAGTAGTAATGTTTTCCGTAGCACAGGATGTAACTAAAACGTGAGCTACAAACCAGAAGTAAGAAGTTCAGGGAGCAAAACCAGACCATAGAAGCAACCCCGTAGGAACAAACAACCGCGTTCCAGCTCCAATTCATTGTGAGAGGTTTGGGGACATTCTTCAAAACCCTAATTTCCCCCCTTCTCTCATCACAGCTTCAATCCGTCTCTCAATCTCAACTGGTCAATCCCTAGACCGATGGCGGAAGAACCAGCATCCCCGTCGCCGGCTGCGGCGGCTTCGCCCCTGGGCTCGTCGGTGATTCCTGTGGTGAACAGGCTCCAGGACATATTTGCCCAGCTCGGGAGCCAGTCTACGATCGAGCTGCCGCAGGTGGCGGTGGTCGGCAGCCAGAGCAGCGGCAAGTCGAGCGTGCTTGAGGCCCTGGTCGGGAGGGATTTCCTGCCTCGCGGGAATGAAATCTGCACGCGCCGGCCGCTGGTTCTGCAGCTGGTGCAGACAAAGAGGAAAGGCGACGGAAGCGAGGAAGAGTGGGGGGAGTTCCTCCATCGGCCTGATAAGCGGTTCTACGATTTCTCTGAGATCCGGAGTGAAATTGAGGTCCGCTTTCGTTTACCAAGAGTAGGATAATAGTGAACTGGAAATTTCTTAACCTAATGCCTTGAATAGGGCTGTTTAGTTTAGTTACTCTGAGTTTGGTTAAGGAACAAGTAATATTCAGAGAAGTCGGATGGAATGTGCTTGAACTAGCTTTTTGTTCTGAAATTTCGTTTACCTATCATTCTGGTCTTTTCTTGGCTAGGCGTTTAGGTTAAAACAAAGGAATAGAACTCTGCCGTCACCAGATTAAAGTTAGCGTTTCTGTACCTGATTATGTGGAAGTAGAAATTCTGATCATTTAATAGCTGGAGAAGTCAGTGTATTGATTAGAATATCATCCTTTTGATGTATTCTCTAATGCTGCTCGATCGTAACAAATTATCTTTGTGAAGTTGCTGTGCTGTAAAACACTGTACAAAGCCGCTTTTTTAACTTAAGGATATCGCTACCAGGCTCCGAGTCACATTTTTTATTTTTTGAGTTGGATGTAGGCTGTAACAGCTAGAGAAGCGGGAGAGAACAAAGGCGTCTCTGACAAGCAGATCCGTTTGAAGATTTTCTCCCCTAATGTTCTTGATATCACACTTGTTGATCTTCCTGGGATAACAAAAGTTCCTGTCGGTGATCAGCCCACTGATATCGAATCAAGAATCAGAACAATGATTATGTCATACATAAAAAAGCCGAGCTGTCTTATACTCGCTGTAACTGCTGCAAATGCAGACTTGGCAAATTCAGATGCTCTTCAGATTGCAGGAGTCGCTGATCCTGATGGTAGTTCCTTGTTTTGAAGCTTGACTCTGAATGTTTTTCATGTTTACATTATGTGGCTTATAATATGACGTTCAATTATTGGCAGGTTACCGTACCATTGGTATAATTACTAAGGTGACATTCTTACTTCATTTTACTTATAATCTTAGAGCTGTGTGTTATATATTTTGTTGTCAAATTAACATTTATTCTCCGACTCAGTTAGATATCATGGATAGAGGTACTGATGCCCGCAATTTGTTACTCGGAAAAGTGATTCCCCTGCGACTTGGTTATGTAGGGGTTGTGAATCGTAGTCAAGAGGTAATCATGGCCAAATATGGATTTTTTGCTGGTTTAGCTGCAATTAGCTGAAGTATAAAGCGATATATTTTTCCTTGACCAATGTTTGGATGTTTCTTCTGGCTGATTGATTCATCATGTTACTCTAACTCAGGACATTAATCTCAACCGAAGCATTAAGGATGCATTAGCAGCAGAAGAGAAGTTCTTTCGCAGCCATCCAGTATGATTGTCCGATTCATAATTTCTTGGTGTCATTTTACTATAATTGAAGTTACTTTGCCAATTCTTCTATTGTATTGTGTATGGATGCGCTTACTTACACTTTGTTTTTCCCTTATTTTTTGTGTAGGTTTACAGCACTGTAGCTGATCGTTGTGGAGTTCCTCAGCTTGCAAGGAAATTGAACAATGTATACTTTCCTGGTCTTTGATCTTCTTATCTTGAATATTATGCGCATGTCTCCTGTGCATTTTGCTTGCATTGCGAAGATGTCTCCTTTTCATTTTTCCTTGATTTGTCATCTTCTTGTCTATGAAACACAATTGCATCCTTATTATTTGTTTTTGTAAGCTTGGCGTGACTTTGAAGAAATTGATTTTGTTAATGAGCTGATTCTAAAGACCTATTTAAAGAGCTTCATTTGAAAAGATCTCTCACCATTTCATACTTTTTGTGGTTGCTTATGTCTCTTGCAGATCTTAGTGCAGCATATTAAAGCGATACTTCCTGGGCTCAAGTCTCGCATCAGTGATGCACTTGTGAGTGTTGCTAAGGAACATGCAAGCTATGGAGAAATCACCGAATCTAAGGTGTGTATTCTTTTGGCAACAGTGTTAGAAATTTATTGGTTGGTTCAGTACTTATTGTTTTACTAGTTTTGGCTTTTGTTTAGCTTCTTCAGTCATCTCACTACTGAGTTTGCCAACTTTTATATGATAGGCTGGTCAAGGTGCTCTCTTGTTGAACATAATCTCAAAATACTCCGAAGGTAATTTTGTGTATCCTACTCCCTCTTTTTGCTGTGTTATAATACACGTTTGGCCGTTATAGTATCTGTTATATTTGGTTTGTCGTGTCCACATTGTCATCTTTCTAATGGTGCTGAGCCTTTGCGTGTAATTTTGTTTGTTGAGCAGCTTTTGCTTCGATGCTAGAAGGAAGAAATGAAGAATTGTCAACTTCCCAGCTCTGTGGCGTAGCATTTATTGAATACGTTTTCCAGTCAATTTTTGTCAGAACTTTAGAGGTGTGTATATATTTATATTTGCAACTTTGGATTTGTATATGTGGAATGTGGATAAATATTCATTTAGTGTCGTTTTGTCTTGGTCTTGAGACAATTACATGCCTCAAAAGTTGGAACTTGGATTCTCTCTGATTTTGAGTCTGCCCCTTGCAAGTTCAACCCTTTGAATGGCTGAAGTTCATGTGAATCTCCCCCATGACTATGCTTGCACAAGTTCTATCTATGTGTGCTTGCTCTGTGCCTTCGTTGGAAAGCTTGGCCCAGTGACTATTAAATGGAAGTTACTTGATCTCTTATGCAGGAGGTTGATCCTTGTGAGGACTTGACAGATGATGACATTCGTATTGCCATCCAAAATGCTTGTGGTCCCAAATCGTCAATATTTGTAGCAGTTGTGGGTGAAGTTTCTCTGTCTTTCGTTTTCTTCCGTTATGTAGTTTCTGTTTAGTTATAGATTCCCAATAACAATTATTTCAGTTTGTGTATATCCTGCCTTATTCATTTCATGTTTGAAGCAAATTTTTACCATCATTGATGCTTTTACTGCACAGGTGCCATTTGAAGTTCTTGTACGTCGGCAAATTGCTCGTTTACTGGATCCGAGCCTTGAATGTGCCAGGTTCATATATGACGAGTTAATAAAGGTCAGGCTTTCCCCTAGTGTGTTCTCTGTCTGCATCTGAAAAGGTTGGGTTTTTAGGTTGACTTTTGAATCTCCAGATTAGCCATCGGTGTCTAGTGGTGGTAGATGAACTACACCGGTTTCCTGTTCTAAGAAAACGCATGGATGAAGTTGTTGGGAACTTTTTGCGGGATGGTCTTGAACCATCCGAGACCATGATTGGACATCTTATAGAAACAGAGGTAATTGAGCTTCTTGCTTCTCTGAAGTCTTATTGGAGCAGTCTATGTGGTATTTCTTCCCCTCGTTTAGCTTAGGATCACTTAGTTTTTTTTTGGTGAATGGCTTTGTATCGCTCTTTGTTTCTACTCTCTCCCTCCTTTTCTGGGCATTCGTTTGGTTTATCGAACAATGACCGGTGCAGTTTGGTGGGCTTAACATCCTACATCCTAGCTGAGATGTCTTGGTGTGTACTGAGGATATGCCTGTTTTGTTTTGGCTTATGGTTCTCTTTTTTCATATTTCTGTAGATGGACTACATAAACACGTCCCACCCAAATTTTATTGGAGGAACCAAGGCTGTGGAAGTTGCAGCACAACAATTGAAGACTTCAAGACTGAGCATCCCTGCCTCTAGGCAGAAGGTATGCATTTCCCATGGAAATGATAATTAGCATGGATGTATATTAGATTACTCACTCATTATTTGTTCTCATACGGTCACTTTTCTTTTCTTCGCTTCAACATATATTTCGTGTTCTCCTAAATAGGATGGTCTAGAAGCTGATAAAGCACCAGCATCTGAAAGGACCCTGAAATCTCGAGCTATTATTGGCAGGCCTGTTAATGGAGTTATGCCTGATCAGGCAAGAACAATTGTAGCTTTCAGGCTTTATCTTCCTCCTCTTTCTCTTGCCTTGTATGTCTTCTGATGTTATTGCTGTCATCATGATAAACTATTTTCTTATTCCCCCCCTCTATGATTTACAGGGGGTACGCCAGGTAGCAGATGCTGAGAAGGTTGGGCCCTCTGGTAAGTTGGGGCAAAGATCTGGAAATCTGTTAGTTTCTGTTTTTCAAGCTTAAAAGCTCTATTTATAGTCATATAGCCTTTTACTGACCGTTGGATAAATGGTATTGTGATTAGGGAACCAGAGTGGGTCTTCTTGGGGTATTTCATCAATTTTTGGCGGAAGTGATAATTCCCTTAGTTTTTCCAAGGAGAGTTCAACAAGCAAAGTACATGTTGAGCCCACTCACGGGAATGATTATTTGGACAAGAGTAGCAGCTCCGTCATTCGATTAAAAGAGGTTTTGAGATTCATATCATCTAAGAAACAATTTTACCCAATTGTTTGCTTGAGCTGTACTCAGCTGCTGCTTCTTACATGCTGACTAGAATTTATTCACTGTGTATCCAGCCTCCAACAATCTTGAGACCCACAGAAGGCTTTTCTGAGCAGGAGTCTATTGAAATTACAGCCATTAAATTGCTATTGCGATCATACTATGATATCGTTCGGAAGAACATTTCAGATTTAGTGCCGAAAACCGTCATGCACTTTCTTGTAAGTCCTTACCTCTTGGTCATATCCGTTCTTGTGCTGTTCTTCCAGTTTTTCTCACTAGCTGCAGAATTTTGCTAAATGTTACCCAGTAATTCGAGCAAGTTTTTGAACTATTGGCGTTGCTTAGTTGGATGGTTTGGTGGCAGTTAAGAATATATATATGGTCTATCCTATGTTCAGCAAGGTGCAGCATGCTAATTACTCTGTATCCTAACAGTCGTAGGGTTAGAAACCTCCTATATATTCCTTATGCTATAAGGCATGAATGAGTTATCATGGGTTTTGATTCTTGAAATGTTGAAACTTAATGTAGTGTTCTAGGTCGTCCTAGTAGCATTTCTTGTCTCTTAATTATGGAAGGTCTTAATACTCAGTTTACCATTAGCGGTCCTACTCGATTGAAAATAGTCGCTTTACGTCTCTCGCATTCTGTTAAGGTTTTCCGTTTTCCTCTCTTTGCTGCTTGTTACAAGTCTTCATCTTACGTTGCATTGTGCAGGTTCAGCATGCGAAACGTGAGTTGCACAATATTCTGATTAAAAAGCTTTACAGGTAAAATGCATTGTTCTGTATTTTGATTGTGCTGGAGGTACCATCCAAATACTCATTTGTTCTCGTTTTCCCTTTGCGTTCCATTTATTGGCAGAGAGAATCTCTTTGAAGAGGTGTTGCAAGAGCCTGATGAAGTTGCGCTAAAGAGAAAGAGGACAAGAGAAACACTCAAAGTCCTCCAACAAGCCTTCCGGGTAAGTTGTACAGACTACAGATCTAGTAACCCTCTAATGTAACATTCTCGTGCTTTTTTTTTTTTTTTTGGCTCATATCCTTGTTTCGGTCAACAACAGACATTAGAAGAACTGCCATTGGAAGCCGAATCAGTGGAAAGGGGACACAGCACGGTTGCTGATACAATCGGGCTGCCTAGAGTTCGAGCAAACTCGAATGCAAACGGTCATCACTCTTCTCCGAGTAATCCAAGGTCGAGGAAGTCCTCCCACTCTGGTGAGCTACTGCAATCTTATTCCACCAGCGCTGATTCTAATGGGAGCAGCGGCAGGGGGGTGTACATGCCAGGTCTCTATCCTTCCGTCGATTGATTCGATCAAACTACGATCGATTGCTTTTTAGAGGTATTAGTAATATCTTCCAGGAACCATAGGATTATCCCAGAATACATGTTTTGATGATAATTTATGCCCACCAGTGGACGGTGGGCAGGATTCGGGTGCCAAGTGCAAGTGGTCTATTTTCCTGGGTGTAAAAAGAAGATGCTCTTGGGAATAAGTTGCTGTTGGTGGTTTTCCATTGTCAGCCAGCAGATAAAAGGGGTGATTGTGTAAATTATGATTATGAGATTTGTTTGCCGAATTCCCATAAGAAAGGATAGGTGACATGATGACGGGGTTACTGGAGACAAACTGTAGTTGCCACTGTACTATTATCGATATTGATGCCATGATTTGGCGGGGCTTTTGATCTTTTGTAGGATATTCGATTTTCAATTCGGTTGTGTGGGAGAAGACAGGGTGCGGGTTTGCATTATGCTATGACAAATGGATCGAATTCATGGATAGTTAATTGGATTGAATTGGTTTGGTGGATCAATTTATGAACTCAAAAGACATTTAAACTTTGGGTCATTATTTAAATTTTGAAAAGTTTAGGAATTACAATGTCATAATGAAAAAATTTAGATATCAAAATGTAAATTTTCAATTATATTGTTCGTCCGAAATGAAATTTTAGGTACCAAAATGCAAAATATAAAAAGTGTAGGTGCTAAATTATAATTTCTCATTTGAATCCTTGGATCAACCTACGAAACCACCAATTCAATTGAATTTAAATAGATTAGATTAATTGAATATTTTAGTGGATAATTAAATTGGATTTACGAAATTGGATACTAGTCAGTAATTACCACCTCTATTGTTGTTGATGTCGGGATTGTAGCCGACTTGACTTCTTCTATCTTATGTACCGAAGCGGCTTGATGTACCCTTTCATCGTAAACTTTCTTCGTGATGGTATCTCCGATCGCTTCGTGCAAGAAAGGGCTCGCCGGTCAATCTCGGCGGGGGCACCCTCCGACACTCAAGTTAGTCTCTGGTGCGGGAGATAGATTAGTTCACAAGGTGTTTGCACGAGGTGACGACGCTCTCAAGATCGTCCCCTCGGTCTCTTGCCTTCCCTTCCACTTGAGAGTATGAGCTTGTTATATAGTGTTTACTTGGGGGACAAATGGGTGACAGGTGTCGGCACCAGAGGTGAGAATGGACACGTCACCGGACATGTGTCGTTGTGGTTTGCCTGTGCACGCAACGTGGTTGTGAACATGTCAACCACGCCTTTGCCTTATGAGAACACTCTTGCCACATGGAGACTGGTTAAGGAGAGTGCATGCCACATATGCAGGTGGGAGTGTAAGAAATTGATCCATGTTCGAGGAGGTGGCAGTAATTGTGGATCCGGGCGTCGGGAGTGATAGCGGGTGCGGGCTGGGCGCTAGTATCCATGAGCGATAGCGGGCCTTGGTGTTGAGATCCGGGAGAGATAGGAGGGTTGGGCGTCGGGAGCCAGGCGAGAGGCGAAGCGTAAGTATCGGGGGCAAAATTTAGCCCGAGAGAAATAGTTCGCCGGCGTGTACCAAGAGCCGGGGGCGATAGTGGGCCCAGTCGCCACGAGGAGTAGGTCAACCCACATCTATGGATTTTGAGTTGTTTCTTTGCAGCATGGAATGCGTTCAAGGTGATGCAGCTCTAAGGGTAGGTCAACCCACATCTCTGCCACGAGGAGTGGAGATTCGTGAACTTCCATCTCAGGATTCTGAAGGGCTCAATAACCACCAAGGTCGATGGGTCCACAAGAAGGGGATCACTACTAACTCATCAAGTCCTTCTCAGTTCACCATGAGTTTTGGGTGCGACGCTGGGGTGAGTATCACTAGGAGGCCATCTCGGAGCTCGGGCTTCAAAGCTAGTGGTGGATCTTGGAATGCTGCTTCAGGTTCGACCGGGTGGGCGTCTTTGGACCCAGCGAACGTGACTCCCGCCCACCCGACTTCAGGTAAGGCGAGAGCTTCTAGCTCACTGTCAGCAATGTTTGTCCCCATTGGGCTTCTGCAGCACAACGCCTTTTGGAGGCCCTTAGTATCAATCATGGTGACCGTCTAGAGATGACCGAGGCTTTCTACCCGGTGAAAATTCTTGCATCTGTAAGTTTTAAATCATACTAGTTAAGTATTATTGATCTTCGTTCGTTTGCAGGTGGTGAAGCAGTCGGTGTCTTCCCATGTCCGGATGACATAAGCGGTGAAGAGGACGGACGAGACCTCTCGTGAAATAGATGCAAGCGGAAGCGGTCTGCAGGTCGGGCGACACGAATTCGTCAACTAGAGAGTCGGTTTCAAAGGGCGGTGGAGAAGTTGGAGGATGCCCGAACTGCAGAGAGTCGTACGCAAGAGGAGTTGATTATGGAGAGGGAAAGGGCATAACGAGAGTCACAAGGGACGGAGAAGGAGAGAGCCCGAGCAGAGTAGGAGAGCGCTCAGGAGAAACATCAATTGAAAAGGGCGGAGCTAGAGAAAAAACGAGTGAAAGAGGAGAAGGCGACTTTTTTCCTTGTTACTTTGTACAGATTCCATTTGAAGTTCTCGTTCGATGCCAAATTGCATGGTTATTTTACCCAAGCCTGCAGTGTGCAAGATTCATATGCGATGAGCTGCTAGAGGTAGAAGCTTTTCCTGTCTCTTTTTGCATTGCTCATTTGTAATTATTCTGGTTTGATAAAATCTTTGTGCCCTTCAGACTAGCCATCGATATCTAGCCAATAAGGTGCAACGGTTTCGTGTTCTTAAAAAACATATGGTGAAGTCATTGAGAACTTTTTGCGGGATGGACTTCAACCATCAAAGACGATGATTCAAAATCTTATTGAAATGGAGGTATATTCACATCCTTCTAATACTTCAAGTCTTGCTTGGCATAATATATATATCTAGTTTTTTGGTTAGCTTCTTGATTAATTTTTACTTGTTCCTAACTTAAAAAATTTTGAATTTATTTCTCATCATATATCTCAGCTGGTTTCCTTGTGAAATACCTATTAAGTATTGGGTACTCTTTGTAGATGGACTCCATAAACACTTCCTACCCCAATTTCATGGGAGGGACTTTTATTGTGCGTGTTGCAGAGCAACAAGTAAAGACATCAAAAGTTACTAAAGCAATTTCCCGGTCAAAGGTTAGCTATTTTCTCCATATAATGATTGTCTCTCAATTGTCAATTATTATATAGAAGGGCCTTTGAGGTCCTCTTTTCCCCTCTCTTCGCATCTAATTCTATATTATGACTTTGACTAGGATGTCACTGAAGCTGATTAAAGCACCAGGCTCTGAGAGAAGTATGAAGTCTATTGCGCCTGATCATGCATGGCAATACTATTTTATATTATTGTTTTCATTTGATATGCATGCCAATTGCTCAGTCTGGGTGGATAATTGATATTTTTTATTCCAGGGAATCTTAATGGCTTCTCATGGGCATTTCATCAATTTTCAAGGGAAGTAATAGTTCTCATATGTCATCTGAGAAGAACTCAACAAATACGGGATATTTAGAGGCATTTCATGAAAGTGACTCGGTGGACAAAAACCTGTATGTTATCCATTTGCAAGAGGTTTGATGAAATTGCTGCTTATTAGTCGCTGCCTTTTGTTGTGCGCTGTGCTTCTTATGTCTTCGCCTGTGATTTTTCCCCATGTTCTCTAGCCACCATAAATTTGAGATCGTCAGAAAGCACCTCGGAGCATGAGATTGTTGAGATCACAACCATTAAATTGCCACTGACATCATACTACTATATTGTTAGGAAGAACATTGAGGATTTAGTGCCAAAAACATCATATATGCACTTTATGGTAATTGCTCCATTATATAGTTGGATAAAAGCGACTACTGTCAGCCACTTGTAGTTGTCAATGTTATCTTATGTGCATTCTCTATCGTCCCATGTACAAAATGCCAATCGCGAGTTGCACAATGTGCTGATTAAGAAGCTTTACCGGTAATGTATAGTTTCTGATGTAATTCATGCCTTTGTGTTTTATGCTCTCTCGTTCCAATCACACTATACTTCTCATTTCAGAGAAAAGTTGTTTGAGGAGATGTTGCAAGAGCCCGATGAGATTTCAGTGAAGAGAAAGCAGACAAGTAGGGATGACAATTTCGACCTGAGCCGTTTTACCCGACCTGTTTTACCTGTTTTAGGACGGGGCGGGGCGGCATGGGTACTCTCATCGACCCGACCTGCCCTGATCCGCCCCATTCTCAACCCATTTTTGCCTAAATTACATGTGATCGTAGTCAAATTACATAGGTTTTCCTTTTATTACATCATATTTTAACTATAACAAAGTTATAAATTAGTGAAAATATCAATTTCTCCAATAATTTAACTTCATTTATCATACTATGATTTGTTTTCTTGGTCTTATTATGAAATTAACGAATATTTCTAATGTTTTCAATATAAATTGCATACACATTGGGTTGACCTGCCCGACCCACGACCCATGATAAATTACCCGGCATGTCGCGGGCCGGGTATGAATATCATGATACCCGTCCCCGACCTGCCCCATTTCTATTCCTATAGACAAGAGATACCCTTAGAGTCCTTCAACAAAGCATTTCAAGTAAGTTCCCATATGGAATGGTTTGTATGTTCATGTAATTTCCAATCGGTCCCTGACGCTTACCCTCTTTTTACCAAGACAGATACGGGAAGAATCGTCATTGGAAGCTGAATCAATGGAAAGGGGACACAGTTCTGGTGTTGATACAACTGGGTTGCCAAAAATGCAAGGATTCTAATTCGGGTCCAATTGTACACATTTTACCCCTCATATCTTGATAGTTTGGCTTCGCATTTCATCGTCCCTCGACATATTTCACCCTAGGTTGGTCTTGTTTTGATACATTTTAGGTCCTAGCAAGTGTGGGAAGTTCGAGGACGAGTTTCAGGTCGATTGGAGGTCGAAAAGTACCAAAAAGTGAAAAAAGGTCCAAATTCACGGTTCATGAAGCAGCCACAGTTCACAGTCCAGCATTGGAGTTCACGGTCTCCCAAGACCATGAACTGGAACCTCAAACCGTGAACAGCGAGGCGTCCAGCGAGGTTTCAGAGGTTACTGACGACAAGGGAGTTTACGGTCTCTAAGACCATGAACTGGAGCCATTGACCGTGAACCCCAAGAGTGAATCGGTGCATTTTGATCCACTGCACCGAGTTCACGGACAAGTTAAGGTGTTCACGGTCGTGAACAGAGGTCATGCACTGGGCTCGATCTGGGTATAAAAAAAAATAGCAGAAGGAAGTAGAAGGGAGAACTGGTTTTTGGAGAAGGAACACTTTCTTTCTCTAGGGTTTCAACCCAAAACACCAAAGGGGAGTTCTCGTGAGAGAGAGAGAGAGAGAGAGATAGAGAGAGAGAGAGAGAGAGAGAGAGAGTGATCTTGGAGCTTAATTGAAGGCATTGATCAAGCTTGGAAGTTAGAAATCAAGCCTAGAAGAAGAAGATGAAGATCTAGAGGTTTCTTTGTAAACTCTCCTCTCTCTCTCTCTAGAAACTCACCCTCTTCTCTTGTGTTTAAGAACCCTAGGTCTATATTTGGGTTTAATGTTGATGTATGTGACAAACTCCATGATTGATTAATGATTTTACTTAATTGATGGATGTTTTCATGAATGGAATGAGTTGGGTTTCCATTTTCATGTATTGAGCTTTTGACCTAGGAGGGAGATAATCGCCTTAGAGCCCCCCTTTTGGCATCTTCGGGTCACTCCTATTGTATATTTTTCGGGTAGTCCCCGAGGGAGTTGATTCGACCGGTCTCCTACATTATACGAAATCCTAGGTTGAATAGAGCACTACCCATCCTTCGATTCATTGTTTCGGGTCATTCCCGAGGGAGTCCATCTCCAAACGGTAGTGTAGTTGAGTCGATCGAGCTAGGAGGATACCTAACATCGATCCAAATAACGGACCTAGGATGATTCAACCCACGAGAGCTCCCCACCTTGTAAGTAGCTAGTTTAGTGGTTAGTCTAGGTTAGTTATTTTAATTCTATCAATCACTATCCTAGGTTGGCTAGATAACGAACCCTAAACCTGAAGTAGGGTAAGCCTAGATCCCCGTGGTACGATAAATTCTTATTGCTTACTTGCCCTATGCTACACCCGGTCGGCAGTTATACTTGGCCGTCGATCGGGATGTTGTAGTTAGAATGAGTCAGATTCCCTCTATCCTCCTCAATGTATGCTGGAAGCAGGAATAACTCTAATGGCTCCGTAGATTCTTTATAGAATTCTAGGAAGTTATCATCGTCTTCTCACTCTAGCGAGCTGTCAATGCATTACTACCCAATGGTGGATTCCAATGGAAGCTGGAGGGGCGCTTACAACATGCCCGACCTCTACCCTTCTCTTGATTGAAGATGATTCCCCTACTTGGTTCTGAAGTCTTATGTTTTTGTCGTATTCTGGTTGGCATGTTGATGAGGTAGAAGGTAATGCTGATAGATAGTTGGTAGCCTAGTATTGTACTCATAATAGTTGAATTGGACAAAACATTAGTTGCAAAATTATAGTGACACAAATCTAAAGATTTAAATTACTGAATGATTCTTTTTCCCAGATATCTCCAAATTGGGAAGAGCAGATATGTAATACAACAATATACACAATTTTTGTAGGTCAAATCACAAATAAGGGAAAAAATCTTCACCAGTCTGGCGATAATAATTATAACTTGGTAGCTAGTTTGTTACAATATGGACAACTTTATTCAACGATTTTATTATACTCACGCCAACCCATCAAGAAGAGACATTAGTAACCTTATTGATTTTCGCCATAAAAATAAGGTCTAATACTAGAAAAGGGCATATAGTTTAGACTTTCTGTCACTTGTACTCCTATGTTAATCCTGCGTCAGTTATGTGACTTATGTCCCAATGTTTATTCTCCATTAACTTTGACTGCTAGTAGTTAATAGTCAAAATTTTGACCAATGATGTGGCATATCATATGGCGTGTGATGTGGATTTTTGCCACTTCACTAAATATAAATAAAATAAAAATTAATATTACATATTTTTAATAAAAAAAATAACAAAATAAAATAAATACAACATATACTTCTATGGTCTACCCCTCTACCCTAATCTCTATGGCGCCGCCGACCTCCTATCTTAATTGCCTCGTCTTCGGCAACCCAATCCGCACAGTCATCACCTTCTCCATCGGCATCGGCGAAAACGACAACAATCTTCGCCTCCAAAAATGACTAATCGAATATGCGAGACGACGATTGGAGGTAGAGGAGACCTCATCTCGCCGGCTCTCTCTCTCTCTCTCTCTCCCTCTTTGGCCTCCAATCTCGCCGGATTTGGGCTTGCAATCTGGAATATGGAGGCGGAAGGAGGGTTCGATTTTTTTGGGGTCAGGTTTGAAGATGGTCGTTGGGATTATGGGTTTCATTCCTGCCCTTTGGTCGTGCCCAATGCGATCTTCAGCCGAATCGGGCAGCTGAGCTTTGAATTGTCTCCCTCGTCGTCGAACAAGTGGTCGTGTAGGCTTTTGTTCTTGAGTAATTCGCAGATGAGGATCATGATCTCGTACCACCACCACCACCACTCGAAGCAGACGAAAATGCAGCTAGGGATAGCTAAATCGAGGAGCGACTTCCATTCCTTGAAGCAATCGAGCGAGAATCCGTCCTAGGTCTTCTTGTGAACTCCGGATGATGAAGAGGATTAGGGCAGGGACGTGGTTGAAATTGGTCCATACTCCACTGAAAGCGACGTCGTAGATCCCCAAATTGAGGTGGGTGACGAGGTAATGGTTGATTTGTATGTGCAGGGGAATGGAAAATCGTTGTGCAGAATTTTAGTTGTAAAGTTACGGGTTGAGCTCTAAGGCAAGTTCTCAGCGGGTGGAGGAAAGATTGGGTAAAAAAAATTTAATTAAATTTTAAAAATATTATTTTCTGACGTGTCGATGACATGGCAGACACGTTGACACTAAGTCAACAGAATGTTGATTGTTGTTATGTTAACTGTTAACTGTAACAATCAACAAAATGAGAGGAACATTCTTGACACGAAAACTCTAACCCTCTGTTTTTTAAGAAGAGAAAGGGAGGGGAAGGGAAGGGAGGGAGAGAAATTCCAGAACCCAATAAGTTTTCCCCCGTTCTCCAAACTTGCTACAGGATCGGAGGGAAGGACTTTGCGCAGAAAATGTACTGTTTTACCTGACCCTCCAATTTGGGAGGAAAGCCACCTTCTCAAGCATTTTCCTATTTTTCATTTTTTTTTTCTTGCGTTTTGTTTTGCTTTCCACTACGTTGGATGGGTAAACGATTTATTGAATTTTATTTTATGGTCACATATTATAAGATTATCTAATATAATTTATTATTTTATCAATTGTATGGTTAATTAACGAATAAAACATTATTATTAACTAATACCCATTTTTCTCGTGCGTTGCCTATTTTCCTTTTTCGTTTAAGTTGTATTTGTGTAGGGATGTGTGATAGCAGTGAAATAAATGACAAAAATTGTTAATTTATATTTTATTAGCACATATATTGCATTTAACGTGGAGAAATATTAGGAGATGTGATAATTACTAATTCATTGTTTTTAGGGTTGAAGAGATAATTTTTGACTAATTTTGGAGGACGATAATTAAATTAGTGAAGTCCGTGTGTATTATTTTAGATTGCTTACTTAACTACGTAAACTTCTAATATGATATTATGTACACTACCGACTTAGATGACAATAGACGATTTTTACGGTCCAACTGGCGATACACGAAAGAACAATATTTATGGCTAACTATGATGCTAGACAATTCTACTCTTATTTGTATGATATCTTTGTGTATCATTATATAATGGTGACAAATGTTTTTCTCACCGGATCATGGTCAAAACATCTATTTTTGTATTTTAAAAATGAACAAAATTAACAAGGAATAATGTATTTGATCCAATTACGTGGAACGTAAATGTGTGTTAAGTTTCAAGTATAACGACATCAGAGTGTTACATTTTTTAAAGAATGGACGTTATCTTGTACTACAAAAGTAATCAAATTTGTATGAAAAATAAAAGAGAGTTAAATGAACAATTTATGTTCCGTTAACAAATAACAAAATTGATCATGGTTATGTAGAAATTGGTTATTCATAATATTTATTTTCGCATTTTTTGCATATACTTACTATTACATAATCAATAAAACAACATATCTATCACACTTCCCTATATACTTTTTTATTGTCAAAATAAAATCCCTCTATACTTTTTCCCTTTCACTATCCCTTTCACTTTCCCCCATAAAACAACATTTTCTCTCCAATTCCCTTCCCCTCCAATTTTCCTTCCCATCCAAGTTTTCCCTCCCCTCCCCTCCTTTTCCTCTCCTACTTCGAAAACAGAGGATAAAAGTTGGGACATAACTGACACGAGATAAATATAGAAGTACAAATGGCACAAAGTCTAAACTAGATGTCTTTTCCTGGAAAAAATCCCAAAGTACACTAGTTTTTAAAAAAAATTCCCAAAATACAGTAGTTATAAAAAAAATTCCAAAACTACACATGTTTGAGCATCACCGTTTTTGTCTAAAACGGTGAAGGTCATCACCGCGTTTGCCAAACACGGTGAGTGCTTCACCGTTTTAAATTAAAACGGTGAAGGGTTCACCGCTTTTGTTTAAAACGGTGAAGTACTCACCGTTTTAATTAAACACGGTGATGCCTTCACCGTTTTAAATTAAAACGGTGAACCCTTCACCGTTTTTGTTGGACGCGGTGAAGTGCTGACGTGGACAGCACGGGGTATTCACCGCGTTAGACAAACACGGTGAATAACCCGTGTTTGTTTGCGTCAGCAATCCGCGCCATTGTGCTTTCACCGTGGCCGTTAGATGCGGTGAGACGCGGATCGTGGTTTTCTTCCCACGATCCGACGCCTCGCAGCACGCCACGTCACCATGCATTCACCGCGTTTGGTGAAAACGGTGAGTTCACCGCGTTCATCAAACGCGGTGAATGCATGGTGAATTAACTGCGCAGCATCTCCTCCCCCCTTCCCCCAAACTATAAATACCCCCTCCCCCTTTCACTTTCAACTCACCCCACAAACATTTACCTTCTTTCTCCCTCAATTTATCCGCTCTAGTCTCGTTCTAAGTATGCTCTGTGGTTGCGGCTAAGTCCGATCTTCCACATCAGAAAGAATTACTAGAGTTTGACCCTAAAGCCCCCGTCCCGCTAAGTTCCCGTCCCTTACAAAGCTAAACCCGTCGAACCTCTGTCCGGCTTCCGCCAATAATGGACGAAGAGGCTCTTCGTGTAGGTTTTTGGTTTGTGATTTTTTTCAATCGAAACAATTTGATTTATTTTTTATCAAAACAATCTCTGATTATATTACTTTTTTATAGATGGGTGCCGAGATATACGATCCTCGATTGTATATCCATTATGGCCCAAGGGATGCGAGTCTATTAACCGATCAGCAAATGCATCGCTCCCGTGCCATTTGGGATAACAATCCGGTAATTTGATGAACTGACTTGCTTTATTTTATTATTTTCTAATGTTTTATTTTGCTTTATTTAATCTAATTAATTGATGTTTTTCCTATTTTTTTTAGGAATCTCTTGTTCCCGTGGTTCATAAAGGGACCAATAACTTGCCCGCTTGGCATCCAAGGTTGGAGCCCTATATAGCGAGGACCGGTTTGGGAATGTTGCGCCATTTCTTGCGGATCGAGATCGACAACGAGCTGCTTACGGCAATGGCGGAACGATGGCGTCCCGAAACCCATACATTCCACCTTGCGGAGGGGGAAAGTAACAAAAATAAATTCAACTAACTAACAACAACATAATACGAAAATTAAATCATACTATAACTAACGAACATAAGTTCAACTAACTAACAACAACATAATACGAAAATTAAATCATACCATAACTAACGAAAATAAATTCAACCAACAAACAACAACATAATACGAAAATTAAATCATACTATAACTAACGAATATAAGTTCAACTAACTAACAACAACATAATACGAAAATTAAATCATACCATAACTAACGAAAATAAATTCAACCAACAAACAACAACATAATACGAAAATTAAATCATACTATAACTAACGAATATAAGTTCAACTAACTAACAACAACATAATACGAAAATTAAATCATAATACGAAAATTAAATCATACTATAACTACTAAAAACATAATTAGACCATAATACGAAAAGTCTCAACATACCGAAAAATTTCTGTTCTGTGTATTATGCTCGATTTTGGCTGCTGAAATTTGAAGAAAGGGGAGTGGTTATGTTTTTACAACTGCTGGTGGAAATCTGCCTACTATTCACCGTTTTTGACAAAAACGGTGAACACTATCACCGCGTTTGTCTCAAACGGTGAATAGGTGGTAGCTGCGACCTAATTTTGACCTACCAGGGGTGGGAAACGTGGGAAATGATCACCGCGTTAGTTAACAACGGTGAAGCCTTCACCGTTTTGGTCAAAAACGGTGAAGCTTTCACCGTTGTTAATTAACGCGGTGAAAGCTTCACCGTTTTGGTGTGAAACGGTGAATACTTCACCGTTTTTGTTTAAAACGATGAAGTATTCACCGTGTTTGTCAAACGCGGTGATGATCTTCACCGTTTTTGACCAAAACGGTGAAGCTCAAACATGTGTACTTTGGGAATTTTTTTTATAACTCATGTATTTTGAGAATTTTTTTTAAGAACGTGTGTACTTTGGGATTTTTTCCTCTTTTCCTGGTATTAGGCTTAAAATAATGTTGTTCGCACAGTCAAGCTGGTGATGATAATATAAGTTGACATGGCACATCCGATAAAATTATCCGTGGCAAGGCACTGCAAAAATTTATTAGAAAGCAAAATTAAAATAAATAAAAATTCATCCCCACCCGCACTGATGGATCACTATCATTCATCACCACCACCATGACTGGAGCCCACATATTTTCCGCAAATGAGCGCTTGCGACCAAAACCAGAATACAACAGAAAACAAGAGAAAACCCGGAAACAAAAAACGGACTCCAAAAAATTCACCAAATCCGGACGCAATAGCCCACCTAGTGCCATTCCCTATCGCTTCTTCATCTTCTTCTTCATCCTCAGCTGAACCTGAATGAGAGCGAGTTCTCCTCCGTGCTTCTGCTTCTGCTTCTGCTTCCTGCTCTGGTTTTAAGCAAAGCAGCGCTAGTAGCTGCAGCTACGATTTCTGCAATGTTCGGCGGCGGAGGAGGGAGTGTTTATTGGGGGAGGAGGAGGAGGGAATTCAAAGGGATTGTGGTGATATTCGCTTGGGTTTCCGCTCACCCTGGGGATTTGAGGAGCCTTGTCGATTTGTATTCCTCTCTCGGTTGGAATTCTCTCGTTTCCCATGCCGATTTCCTCACCGCGTAACCCTCTCTCTCTCTCTCTCTCTCTCTCTCTCTGAATCTGCTTGCTTGTTTCTTTCTTATGGCTCTGTTTGTGTTCTGGGAACATGAAAGGGGGGTGAATTTGAGCTGAAAAGAAGGCTTGCAAGGTTCAGGATGTTATGTGGGAAAACGCAAATGAACATCATACTTAGTGTGGTTAGGGTTGACTCAAGTTTAGAGAACTATACTAGTCTACGAAGAATAGTACCATAAGGGTGTTAGATTTCTGGAAGTTGGGGTGGGTCTGTGAAGCTTGCAGGTTTACGTCTTTTTGATTCGTTCAGGAACTAGAGAGTACACTTGATGCTCGATGATGCTCTGTTTTTGCAGGTTTTATCCCGAGAGAGCCATTTCGTTGGCGTTTCTTCTCCTCAGTGAACTTGTCCAGGTCAGCTAACTTACATACTGTCTTGGTTTATGGGTCATAGTTTAGGATTCTAGGCTTACATCTCAAATACATTGTATGGAGTGGAACCTTGCATGAGCTGTATATCAATGTCGAAATCCCCTGTCTTGTTCAGTATGGCCCTCACTAGATCAGTCATCATCATGGTGGTAGAACATGGGAGTTCCTCAGATGTTTTTCGTTCTTTCTTTCAAATTTGATGAATGAATGGAAATATTTGTTCACCATCAAACTGATGTATGTAGGAGCTAAGGGTTCGGCCATGTCCAGTTGTCTTTGTGGCTCTTTCTGGTGGTTCAAAAGCTTGCATGTCCAAGGTTTTTCAGGTAGGCTCTGTGAGTGTTTCAGTGAACAGTTTCTTAGAAAGGAAAAGAGAACTTATTCTTGATGTTTCAGAATCCTGATTGCATGGGTCTATAAACTGTTTCTTTTGTTCTTTCTTCCTTTTTTGGCTGTTGTCATTTTTTCACTTGATTTAATTGACTCAACCTTATCATATGTCTTGCAGATCATCCAAGGTTCTTGTGAAGGTCATCTTAACCTGGTATATTCCTTGCTTAATAGTTGAATCTCCATAGTACCATATTTTTCCCTTATTCCTCTTGTTCTAATTGCTTACTTTTTTGGTGCAGGATGAAAGTCGTTTAATCGGAAACTGCTTTTCTGGCCATATCTATGATTCTAGCCCAGTAGACTTTACGAGTGATTTGGCTGCCCGGTTTGCTCTTCCAGCCATTCAGAAAATGCCCGGCCCGTCAAAACTCATGTCTTGGTTTGCAAAAGGGGTCACTTCTGGTCTTGATGGTTTGTACCTTACCAGGTTTGAGTACCAACGAACACAGTATTGGCAGAATCTGTACTCATCAGTTGTAAGTTGAAACCTGAACCAACCCTGTGCTTGAAGCCTCTGTTTTATCCCACTTCATAATGATTCATATGTGTTCACTCTCTTTTTTTTTTTCAGGAGTTAGGAGCCCCATACCTGATTTTATGCTCAGCTGATGATGAGGTTGCATCTTGCAATGTTATCTGTGAATTCAAACATAAACTACAAGTACTTGGCGCTGATGTTGCACTTGTGAAGTTGAATGCTTCTCCTCACCTAGGTCTGATTTGTATTCTCTTCCTTCTTTAATCTTCTATATGATCAGCTATGCCATGATTTTAGTAGAGGGTAGCGATTGAGCTAAAAGATTGCCGCTGTGCTCATAAGAGCAAGGGACCTCAAGTTGTTGATTATTCCCAAGCTATTTATGAATTTATTTCATTACTTGATAACTAGCCATCTCATGACAGAGTCATAATTGTTATATTGAACATGTTCTGCTTGAGAAATGACACTATGGATTGAAATATGGTGTTACTGTAGGCTGAAAGTGGGCTAGAGTAGATGTCACAGGAGTCTTCAGCACTTGAACCTGAAAACACTTTTTGTTGTTCTCTTGATTACCGGCTCATGGAAAATGCATGTTGTTGGCTCAAGAACACCAAGCAGGTCTCTTAAAAGAATACTTTATATTTAACCCGCTACTTTTTCTTTCTGTGCTTCTGTTTTTTCATGATTTCACTAGAACATGTTGGAATATATAGGCACTGTGATACTTAAAAATGATTGGTTCTTTGTTTCTTACTTCTAAGTGATCCATTCGCACCATATTCATATAATTTTGTATCATATTGTTTTCCCAGGTCATTACAAGTATCATCCAACCCCGTACAGCACAGCAGTGACCAATTTGCTAGAGAAGGCCACATCAGTTTATTGCCAAAGAATCCAACAACTCCAAGAGGGACTAAAGATGGATGGTATGCATCACCAAATATCCAATTTAGTATGCGACCTTCAGCAAGTGGCAGTCGACTCAAATGAAGGATTAAGAAGAGTACCGCCGGTTCTGCCCAATGATGACTTCTTTGGACAAAGTTCTTCCAAAGACCAGAATAATAAAGAGTCAGAATCTCCACAAGATGAAAGGAAAGAGAACTCCTCTATAAACCTGAGCAGCCCCCCCAGGATAAGCCCTCATGGTGTTCTTGGCCAAGTGCTGTTCGATGCTTGTGTTCCCAAGTATGTGGATGGATGGGATATTAGGTTTTCTGGATGCCTCAATGGACAACCTGTTGCTTCTGCAAGTAAGCGCTCTCATCTGCAGGCCTTGAAACGCTTCCGCCGCTCGAGATTATAGTGCTGCATGACACAGGACGAGTTGAAAATGCTAGTGATGTGTTTTGAGGACCATTTTGAGGCTGGTCCATGTTTTGGGATGTAGAAGTGTACAGGTAATGCAGGAAGTATGGCAATCTGTTAGAGAATGAGGCAAATCCTAAAGGAAAGTCTGCCAATGCTGAGCATGCAAGGTGTTTAAACCAGTGGTTTCTGATCCGGGCAGAGGGCAAGAGGATAAGATGTAAATACTTTTCTTTATCTAAAGAATAAAGGGTATATTTAGTCTTGGTATTGTAATGAGATACAAACCAACATAGCGTCATGTTTCATAATATGTCGCGGTTTGATGACTTGATGTACAAGTATGTATAAAAAGTGACTAAGTCTGATGCTGAGTTAGAACTTAGAAATGCTCTTTCGAACTGGGTGTTATTGGGGTTTGAATGAAGGGAAATGACTGAAGAAGCAGGAGGTAAATAAACAGGTTTTCAGGACACAGCAGAACTTGCAGAAGGCGGCGGTATATGTTAACTATTATCAGTGGTCATTACTAGACAATCAGCTTCTTTACATCTGCTGGCTTCAGGATTGGATCATCACGTGGATTGCAATATTTAAAAAAGGACCGAAAACGGGTAAACCATGGACTATATGGACTTATTTGGCAAAACTATGTAGTGTAGGAGCTAAATGGGAAAAAATAGCAAGGCATGGACTATATGGACTTATTTGGCAAACTATGTAGTGTAGGAGCTAAATGGGAAAAAATAGCAAGGACAAGTTTTGGTTGAGGCCGGTAATTTAGTCGGCGGGGTTGGAGTTGGATTTTTTTTTTTTTTTTTTTTACAAAAGATATCTTGTATTGATAGAAACAAATCGATAGTTACATCCTGGAATTCAGCCAGGCCTGAAAGTCAAAATAACGAATCATAGTCGGGGACAAAGACAGGGCCTGTCTAGCTACAACATGGGCTACCCTATTGCTACCCCGACCTACAAATCGTACAGTGAAACCCGGATATAAAATAAACAGCTGAAGAATCTCTTCTAAAATAGCCCCAACCCGACTATCCCGCACATCACCCTGATCCAGCTTCTCAATGATCACTTTGGATTTAACATGGGTTAATTGTGCTTTTGTCTGACCCAACTTTTTTTTATTTCCAAGTGATATTAATAGAGAAAAAGAGTTATACAAACAAAACTACTCAGAAACCCCATACAAATGACACCATAGTGAATCCACCCAAATAGTCGAAAGACTCTAAATCTATGAGAGATAATAGCCGTACTTTAGACGCCACTCTATGGGCAATACTATTGGCGGCTCTAGGAACCTCCCTAAACTATATACAAACTGATAAAGAGTTTAGGATCTGGCGACCCTCCAGGAGCATCGGTTCTCCAACGGATTCTTCTAGGACACCTTATCGAATTGCTAGGATCTCTGCCAGGTAGAGGTTGACTACTCTCTGGTGACGCATACTGGCTGCCAGCACCACATGCCCGTCTGACCCACGGATAACAAGACCAGACGAGCACTAAGAGTCACGAATAGTTGTATCGAAATTGATCTTCAACAAGTCTTCTGGTGGAGGCTCGCAAGAGGTCGGGGGGATTTGGGAGGAGCAATCTGGGGGCGAAGGAAGGGGTGACAATTGGGAGACTTCTGGGACCTTGTTGTAGAATTGTTTGACGAGGAACGGACATGAGGTGGTAGAATTCAAAAGTCGCTTTATTTATAGACTTCCAGATTCTCCAAAGTAAACAGACGTATTGGAGAATGTGGAATGGGGAGATCTCAGAGATCATAACATGTCGCCACCATAGACTAAAATTAATTGTCAGGGCGGACTCATTGAAGTTGCTCAATCCCACTAAGTCCACAACTTGGTGGCTTGGGGGCATATGAAGAAAGTGTTCAATGCTCTCTTCAAAACTTAGGTTAGAAGCATGTAATTAAGATATTCTCCATTAAACCAATTTGAAAGACCAAAAATCCACTGCACATCGAAAGCCCATTCAAATTTTAAAGTAAAAGATCACACTTGCCTGTGTCTCCTTGGTTAGCCAAACCCATTAACTGCCAATAAAGGACACAATGAAGGCCTATAATTGCCTTTAACAAACCTGCCATCTTGAGCAAAGCTCTAACCCTGTTAGAGCGTCGGTATGAATAGAGAATTATTGAGCTCACCCATATGAATAGGAAATTATTTCCCTAAATGAAGCTTAATGACTCATGTCGTAAAGTTAGTCCAAAATGGACGAATACCTCCAATAAATGGAGTTTTAATTTTCACCGGAGGGGCATTGAATGCAGGATGAGCCGGACAAAGTCAGTCGCCGGAGATTTTTCGGCCGCCTCTTGGAGCAATGGCAATTGTCTCTGGTGGTGGTGGAGCCGGAAAATATGCCGGACAGATCTTCGGAGTGATGCAGCACCTCTTCTTGCGATGGAACTTCTTCTTCCATTAAATCAGAGAAACGAGCTTGTACAAGGCAGCGATGGTCATCTTCCCGCTGTTCTTCTTCATATTGCTAGCTCGTGAATTCCAGCCGTGCTCGACGGCGGGAGCCTGGCTCAGAATCAGCTACTGGGCCGCCGACAGGAGCGTCGACTCCCCTGTTTCCGAAATCGACTATTCTCTCTTCACTCACTTTGTCAGCCGCTCTGCCCCCATCAATTCCTCCTCCTACGAGCTATTCATCCTGCCGGAGGAGGCGCAATTCGTGTGCAACTTCACGGCGACGGTCAAGCTCAAGGACCCATCCATCTCGACGCTGCTGTCGATCCTCTGCGACGCTACCGGCTCCGCCGACTTCTCGTCGACGGCGGGGGATCCCTCTCGTCGGAAGTCCCTCATCGATTCCTCAATCGATTTTGCCAGGACCCATATGTCCTCGTTTGACTTGAGTTTGGTGAAAGCAGATCAAGATCTGACTGAAAAGGAAGACTCACAATCAAAAGAAACTAGTTTGGTGAACACAAGCCGCTTTCTACTTTCGAGGCGAGAAAATTTCCTGGAAGGGAAATATGCAACCTTTTTCTGTCTGACACAGCCTTGAATGGCCATGTCACACCCTGGAGAAGAAGAAGTCTCTTGGCAAAGAAGAATCGAGACCAGAAGAGAAATGGCGGAAGAGATTGAGAAGAACAGAGGAGAGAGAGAGAGAGAGAGAGAGAGAGAGAGAGAGAGAGAGAGAGAAAGGAGAGGGAAAGAGTAAAGTTGTATATTCAGTAAAGTTGGTTACAACGGTCTTGGCGGGTTTGCTTTATACATCATTGGCAAATAACCAATTCACCCCCATTACACAATTCCCCATCTCATCCCTAACTTCTATGTATATCCAAAATGGTCCATTCGTTACAACTCCCCATTCCTTCAGAGAAAGCTTGACCTCAAGCTTGAAAATCTGGAAATTTGGCTTGGAAGTCGATCCATGACTCCCAGGTCGCGTCTTCAGCCTGCTGATGAGTCCAATGCACCAAAACCTAGGTCTGAGGCTTGTTATCATGTGCCACCATTCGTCACGCCAAAATTGCAGCTGGTTCCAACTTCAAATCGTCTTGATCATCCATTGCAGGCAAACTGGGCTGCACTCTAACACTGCTACCAACTCGAGCCTTCTTTAGGAGTGAAACATGAAAAACAGGATGGATAACCGAATCTGGAGGTAATTTTAACCTGTAAGCCACAGCTCCAATCTTCTTTTCCACCTGGAATGGTCCAAAGAACTTGGGAGATAGTTTCTGGTTTGATCTGCTTTCGACTGAAGTCTGCCTGTAAGGACGCAATTTGAGGAACACCCACTCACCCTCCTCAAAAGATCTTTCTGGTCGATGAGCATCAGCCATTTGCTTTTGCTTATTCTGAGCCCTGGCCAAATTGTTCCTGAGGATATTGATTAATCTGTGCTGCTGTTGAAGTCTATCAGCCACTGCTGCCACTGAAGTAGATAGAGGATTTTGGACTGAGAATTGAGCTGGAGAATACCCATAGAGAGCTTCAAATGGAGATAGTTGAAGACTGCTATGGTAATTGGTGTTATACCACCATTCAGCCAAAGTTAACCACAGAGCCCAGCGTTGAGGGCAGTGATGGACCATGCCCCTCAAATATTCTTCCAAACAACGATTCAGCCTCTCAGTTTGGCCATCTGTCTGAGGATGATAGGCTGTGGAATAATGCAATGAGACCCCTTGTAACTCCCATAACTTGGACCAGAAGGAACTTGTAAAAATTGCATCCCTGTCAGACACAATGGTCTCGGGCAACCCATGAAATTTAAACACACCATCAAAAAACACTTGAGCCACAGATGCAGCAGTGTAAGGCTTAGTCAAAATGAAAAAATGGCCATACTTGGAAAATCGATCTACAACCACTAGCACTGCATCTTTCCCATGAGAACTGGGTAATCCTTCTATAAAATCCATAGAGATATGCTTCCATGCCTGATCTGGGATAGGTAAAGGCTGTAGTAACCCAGGGTATGGCACATTTTCTGTTTTACACTTTTGACAAATCTCACAGTGTAAAATGAAGTGTTGCAGAGAAGTTTTAAGGCCAGGCCACCAGAAGTACCTTTTGAGTCTTTGGTAGCTGGCTTGAACCCCTGAGTGTCCTCCAATTGGTGAGTCATGAAACAGTTTGAGCAGCTGATCTCTCATGTTGCCATTGGAGCCTACATAGATGGCTTCCTTGTGGTAGAGTAAGCCTTGATGGATCCATAATAGCTTAGGGCCAGTAATGGCAATAGCAGCTTCCACCCAAATGGCCTGAGCCTCCTGATCCCCCTCATAAGAAGATTCCAACTCAGCCAACCAAGTAGGCAGCACAGCAGTAATGGAACCACACTCACCCTGACTAACCAAAGCTGTGCCAAAATCAGGATGTCTAGACAAGGCATCTGTAACCTGATTGAACTTGCCTTGTCTATATTGGATTTCATAATCCAATCCCAACATCTTGACTAACCCCTTCTTCTGAATCTGAGTATGGATCTTCTGACCAAGCAGGTGCTTGAGACTCTCATGATCTGTGACAATTTTGAATTGCCTTCCCTCCAAGTAATGGCGCCACTTAGTCACAGCCAACAGGACTGCCAGATACTCCTTCTCATAAGTAGACAATCCCTGTTTCCTAGGCCCCAAGGCCTGACTATGGTATGGTAAGCTATAGGTTTCCCTTCTTGAGATAAAATTGCCCCAATTCCCACATCACTAGCATCAGTCTCCAAAACAAATGGCTTGGTAAAATCAGGAAGAGCCAGCACAGGTTCCTGAACCATAGCCTGCTTGAGTGTTTCAAAAGCAACCTGGGCTTGATTGGACCACTAGAAACAGTCTTTCTTCAGGAGGTCAGTCAATGGTTTCCCAATAATCCCATAATTGCGTACAAACTTCCTATAATAACCAGTGAGACCTAGAAATCCCCTTAGTTCTTTAACATTCTTAGGTCTAGGCGACGCAACCATAGCCTCAATCTTGGAAGGGTCAGTGGTAACACCTTTCTAGTTGATGATATACCCCAGATAGTCAATCTGAGATTGGCCAAAAGAGCATTTTGATGGTTTGGCAAACAGTGTATTGCTCCCGAGAATTGCCAAGGCTGTTGCCACATGCTCTTTATGGCTCTCCTGGTCCTTGCTGTAGATCAGTATGTCATAAAAAAAAACCAGAATAAACTTCCTGAGATGTGGTGTAGAAATCTGATTCATCAATGCCTGGAATGTTGCTGGAGCATTAGTGAGCCCAAATGGCATCACTGTAAACTCATAGTGCCCTTGATGAGTGCGAAAGGCAGTCTTGTGCTGGTCTTCAGGGTGCATCCTAATCTGATGGTACCCTGACAGTAAATCCAGTTTAGTAAAGAACTTGGACCCTCTTAACTCATCCAGCAAGTCATCAATAACTGGGATGGGAAACTTGTCTTTAATAGTAAGATCATTAAGCTGTCGATAGTCTACACAGAACCTCCATGATCCATCTTTCTTGAGAACTAGTAACACAGGAGAAGCATAGGGACTCCTGCTGGGCTGTATATAGTCGGATTCCATCATTTCTTTCACCAATCTATCCATCTCATTCTTCTGAGGAATCGAGTAGCGATAAGGCCTCAAATTCACAGGCTGGGAGTTAGGCTTCAAAGGAATTGTATGATCACATTCACGAGCAGGAGGAAGGTTTGTAGGCTTACCAAACACATCAGAGAATTCATCCAGAACTGGTGTTAAGAAGTCAGGTACTGAACTGACCTTAGTAGGCTTCCCTTCATCGACCTTCATACTCCACAGCTGGCCCACAAAAACTGCCTCTGATTGATTTATCAACCTCTGAAGATGTTTGCCCGAAATGGCCTTGCACTGAGCCATGTCCTGAATCCCTCGCAAAACAACCTCCTGACCTTTCCAAGCACAAAACAACTAGAGATTTACAAAATCAAACATGACTGGGCTAATGGTCTTAAGCCAGTCCAACCCTAGGACAACATCATTAGAACCAAGATTCAAAATCCTCATGTCATAAGTGAACTGCTTCCCTTGCATTTCCCAATTAAAGCCCTTGCAAACCAAGTGGCTCAAGAGAGTGTTACCATCCGCCAGCTTCACACGCAAGGGGTTAGTTGCCTGAACCAAGGTACACTGTAAAGCCTTGGCTTTCTTCTCACTCAAGAAAGTGTGAGTGCTACCAGTGTCAATCAAGACAAAAATCTGGTCCTGCTTCACTCTACCTTGGACAACCAGTGAATTGGTTAGCCCCCCACTATTCAAGGCCTGCATAGATACCTCTTCCAACTCTGCTGAAGCTAAATCAGGACTGGATTCCAAGACCTCTTCCTCCTCAGGACCAGTCCAATCCTCTGCAATCCCATCCTCACCAGCAGCTTGCAACATGTTAATCTGCTTCTTAGGTTCACACACATGACCGAAGAAGTACCTGTCCCCACACTTGAAACACACCCCTCTAGCCCCATTGCCTTTCTGATTCACAACAGGAGCTTTGGCCCCCCCAGATGGTCTGGCCGGAGCGCCCTCCCAGCGACGGTTCTGAGGTAAGGTAGTACCACTGGAAGACGCCCAAGGACGACTGGAAACCCCTTGGCCCCCTCGCCACTTCTTTTGGCGAGCTACATTCGATTCCTCCTCCAATTGAGCTAGCTGGAAAGCGTCAGCCAATGTATGTGGATTCCACATCTGTATCACAGGACGCAACTCATCCTGCAACCCGCTAATAAAGCTGCTGATGAAATAGATTTCATCCAAAGCTGGATTGAAACGCGCCATTAACGACCTTAATTCTTCGAACTTCTCCTGATAATCTGCGAGAGAACCAGTTTGCCTAAGTTTGTTAAACTCAGCTACCACCCCACCATAAGAACGATTCCCAAACCGCTGACACAGAGCAGCAACAAACTCATCCCAAATCAACTCCCTCCTACCGATTTTCCACCCTTCGAACCATAAATCTGCTCGGCGCTGAAAATAGATCACTGCTAAATTCACCCGCTGATCATTCGGAATTCCATAGATCTCAAACAACTTCTCACATTTCCGAGTCCATTCACGAGGATCTTCCCCATTAAAGGTTGGAAGGTCAAGTCGGGGAAGTGGAGGATTGTTACCTGGAGCTGGAGCTTGAAAGCGCTCCCGTTCAACAACAACAGGATTTGGAACAGGAACTCGAGGTGTCGACGCCATGGCCGGATCGGCTCCCCGAAGACCGAGATTTGGCAGAGGAAGAATGCCGCGACCGCCATTACGATCACCCAGCGGCATCGGCGCGCCCTCAAAAGGAACCAGAGGTCGTTGTGGAACTATCAATTGAAGCATATCACGGATCTCAGTGGTGAAGGTGCCAAATCGAGCGTTGAGACGATCTTCCAATTCAGCTAAGCGCGTCGCTGACCCCGCCTCCAAGGAATCCAACCGAGCAGTGAGATTGATGAACTGCTGAGAGTGACCTTCGGAACGGGTGACGATTTCACGAATCTGAGTAGATTGCGACGTGACTAAGCTGCGAACATTGGCGATTTTATCGTCCAGATCTCCTTGAGCCGCCGTCGTGGACGCCATGAGACCGGTA